CCCAATGCTGGCTTTAAAGAGATGTGCTCTCATCTTCCCCATGGAGAAGCTTCTCATTGTTCTATCCCTGTCGGCACTTACCCACTGGGCAGAGCTATTGCTGAGATTTGGGGCTGATGCTAGCTCTGTCAGGTTGCATTTTCTGCCTAGTCACCTTTGGGCCCTGGAAGCGTGAAGGCATTAAATCGTTCTGGCCTGCTCCTTCTCTCACTGAAGTCAGCAGCGAAACTCCCAGGGACATGACTGGGAGCAGCCTCAGGCCCTGAGCAGATTTGTGTGCATCGCTATAACTGCTTTCCCTGCCATGAGATGTAACTAAGAGCTGGGTGGGGCATGAGGTGGAGATGGAGAGGGGAGTCCTTCAAACTAGCCCTTCTCCAGTCTCCCGAACCACTGAATCCCCTAAGGGCATTTCGCTGATGGATCAATTCCCCCGCTCAGCCCCTTTGCTGTGAAGACCATGAGTTGCTTTGCACGGTCACCCCTATTCCTGGGGGTAATCACCCTGGTTGATGCTAACTTGTCTACTCCCCTGTCAGTGTGTAGTTCTTCTCTGTCCCCAGGATTATACATTTGGGGCATGTCCTAAATCCAAACCCATGGAAATGGGTTAAGGTGAAGGAAGAGGCTGATTCCGTGTCAGAGCTCTGCAAGAGCCTTGTGAGAGCTGCAGGCAGCGCGGGCTGCACCATTATAAATCCAGAGTTTGCCCTTTCTTCCCTGCTCCTAAGGCCCAAAGCAGGTGGGTTAGAGCTGAGGGGGACCCAGCACATGTGGAGAGGAGGGGGGCCATATGGTGAGGATACCTGCTGGGAGATTGCAAATCCAATAACAACTTCATCCTCCAGAACATCCCAGGTCACAACAGCCGAGTTGGCCTTCAGATGTTTGACTGTGACATTGACTGGGGCGGACGGGCTGTCTGCAAGGAGACAAAACACAAGCTTTACTATGGCAAAGTCACTGATGCAGGCAGGAGACAGGGAAGGAGCTAGAGAGAGAGGAGCAGTCGATTCCTGTAGGGCATCAGACATGGTTTTCTGCAATAAGAGGAAACAGGATTTAACCCAGGTCAGCCACTGCCCCTCAGCTAGGGGAGTTTGGGGGCTGCAGATGCCCTTCACCTGTGTAGTGGCTCCAGGTGTGTGGAACTTTGAGACATAGACACACCATGTTTTTGGTGGCCATTAAATTCTCCAGCCCCCTTGGATGATTTAGAGTGGCATTAAACCTGCATGTAAAATATTTAACCCTTTAGACACTGCATCCCAAACTCATGCTGATAAAGCTTTTACGCCACACAACGCCATCACATGCTCTTCATCTAGCTAGTCTATCACACGCACCCCTGCTTTCTCCGTTAGAGCTTGCCCGGACTGCAGTGAGAGTGAAAAGCAAACACCACCCTGCCTGGGTACTCAGCATGTCGCCGAGGGTGGTGGAAGTACGGAAGTGCTGGTGCCCTAGTTAACGCCCTTGGGGATTTGAAACCCACATGCAGTGAAGAGGGGGGTGTTTCTTTTATTTTTATTTCCCTGCTGCTTTGAAATGCTGATGCTTTACAAGCCCCCTGGTGGTGCCACAAGGCCAGGGTGGGCAGAAGATAGGTCTCCTGTGATTTATTTATTTTAAATGGCCACATTTGTGAGGCTGATGAGCAGACAGCTGACAGGCTGACTGATCAGAGCTCTTCAAAGTGAGGGACTGGCTGAACTTCCAACCAACCCTTCTGGCTTCGAACGAACACGAAAGCAATGACCCTGTGCCCCCTTCCAACCAACACTCTCAGTCAAGCCTGGGAGCTTCCATTGCCAGCGGGTGTGATCATGCTTCAAAAGCTCCAGGAATCAGTAACGAGGCAATTAGGAATGGGAGGGTTCTAGACAAGGCATCGGGCCTGGATGGGTTCCAGACCACAGTCCTTCAGGAAGCAAAAAAGGGCAATAAGAAAGTCCCTGGCCCAGATTGTTGGAATCTCACAAAAGGCTGGGCAGGGGCTTGAAATGGAGCAGTAACTAATGGTCGGTGGCTCAAAGAGTTTGCAGAGGGAAGATCCTTTATTCGATCAGGTCAGCATCAATCAGAAATTGTTGCCATCTGTTCCGTGGCCCAGGTGAAACGCATTTGTGATCCCAGCAGCCAAAAAAAAAAAAATCCCTTTCATTATGGTCAGTAAATGAGCCCCTGGTTGGCAGCCTCATCAGAGAGGCCAAGGACAGGATGGGCCACTGGCCAGTGCTCCTTTCTCACCCTAGCCCAGTCCCTTCTGGACTTGGCTGAGGCAGCAAGAGAGGACTTTGGTCTCCAGGGATGTCAGTCCAGCACTTTCCACTATTACTTAAACCCCCTTTAAAAACCCAATTGCAAATCAGAGTAGGGTCTTATTTTAGTAAGGGGCAGTTTGCAGAGCTTCACACAGGGAAGGTCCGTGAGTCATGCCTGATGAATGTGCTAGAATGTATTGAGGCTATGACTGAGCTGAGAGGTGGGGGCAAGGGGGGTGCAGCAGACAAAACAGGCTCTGATTGCAGCATGGTAATGGTGCTTTGAGCAGGTGTCTACCCCCTTCTAAGGTACAGCCATGCAGCTAAATCCCTGCCCGTTGTGCTTTCCCAGATGTTGTTGAGAGAGGCTACCACAGCATGGGGTGATTTATACTGCCTGGGATTGGGAAGGTTATTGAAACAAGTGAATTACAGAGAAACAGAGTGTGTGGGTAAAAGAGCATTCAGGATGGGGAGAAGGAATATGTGGGCGGCACCAATACTGGCATCTGAATCCAGCAGGGATATTAATGACCTTGAGGAAAGGATAATATCAAAAATGCCTAAATTTTCTGATGACATAAAATGTGGGGGAGGTGGGAAGAGCCAGCAGATACGGAGAAGGAGAGCAAACACCTTCAACATTAGTAGGTTAAATACGGCTGCGAGACTGACACGTGATAGTGAAGTGCACTGCAAGGTTGCAGCCCAAATGTTTCCACAGAGACAGGAGCCTATAAAGCAGGAGTCACAATACAGACCAGGAGAGAGAGCAGGTGGGGAGGGGGATTAAGGATACTTCACTACCTCCATCTGCACAATAGAAACCCCAAGAGATGGACGGTAAAGGGAGATGCACTAAAATCAAACACAATGGGCTCGAGTCTGTTCTCCCTTTACCCCACTGTAAATCAGGAAGCACGCCTGAAATCAATGGAGTTAATCCAGTGTAAGAGTGATGTGAGAGGAGAATTAGACCCAGCATTTGCAGAAATGTGAAGCGAGGCAAGTAAGTTCTCCACGGACAGAGCTGAGTGAATAATTTGCAATGAAGGTCCTGGAAGATCCAGGATGAGATTGGGATTTCCTTGAATCTATTTGCTGTTTGGATTTATTCCGTGAACTAACTTACTCTCTGGGTCGATCACACTTTCTTTGGAATTCCAGTTGCGTTGTGATTAGATAGATGAGATCCAGTTTCTGGTCTCTGAGTGGCTCTGTGTGAGCATTTTCAGCACGAATGCTTAGGTGGACACATCTAAATGTTGAATTCCCTGATACCGTGCGTGCAGCTCTGAATTTTGCTTTCTGAGAATGCTTATGTCAGTAAAACTCAAACCGTTACCAGAAAGTGACCCCAGAGGCAGAGGGGGTAATGTTCGTCTGAACTCATTTCAACATGCAGGCAGGATATCTGGGGAACACTCTATGCAACAGTCACCCAGCCCTCCCCAGGCACATTAATTCCTGATGCACTAGGGACGGCTGCATCAGCCTTTTAGTCAATAATAGACCATATGTTCCAGGGTTTGTGATTTAGCTATTTAACTTCATTCCAACTCATAGGCCATAACCCCACCGGAGCAAATTCCTCTCTCAAAACTGAAAGAGCATCTGTTTGGCGGAGTTTGAGTTAGCGACATGCATGCACATGAAAAGATGTTCTCCTTTTTGCGCCAGGGGAACTCACGGCCCCATTTGTTTAGTTAAAATAAAATCATGACGGTTTCTCACGGGCAATGGCTGCTGTGAAACAAACCATGATCACTCTTTTGTTTCCTTCCAGCAGGGAGCTTTCACAAGGTGGACCCTCGCCCTGCATCCCCCAGGCGCTGTGTGTCATAGCTATACCTCACACCTGCATATTCTGGGCCCTTTTGGAGAACGCAGGGCATAGCCTTCTCCACGCAGCAAGGAGGCACAAGCAGTGAAGATTACCATGAATATGCTCTTTGCCTCTCGTTAAATGCCCTGCTGATTATTAAGCAGCTTTTTTTCTTTAAAGAGAGAGAAAACATTGATGGCTTTGGACTGATTTGTCGCTGGCCTCTCATCTTACCACCAGCGGCTCCCGGTGTCAGGAGCAGGAGGCCTGTAGGATGGGAAGCTCCCTACCTGCCTGTTAGGTTGCTGTTGCACAGGGGTTGATATCACAGCCCTTGCTGGTGTCAACCAATAATCACCCAGCACATCTATTAGTTGGGGAGTTGGACTAAAAACTACACCATGAACAGTATGTAGAGTACCCTGCCAATCCATACCCAGTGCTAGAGTGGTACCCAAACTACGCCTACTAGCTCATATCTATCTATGGATCTGTACCTAGAGGTACTCCTATGCCTAACCAATATCTGATCTATACCTAATACCCTATATATCATCACTATCGGATCTATATTCAATACCCTATGTACAGTATACCCAATATAGTACCTGACCTATATCTGATTGACTATGCCTACCTCATACCTCCTATCTAGTATATCTGATCTATATTCAATGTCATCTCTATATATTATACAATATGTATATTTAGTGCTAGGTACAGTATACAGTATATAATCTGTACTTAATAGCTTATGGATCTCTAATACTTTAACTGTACCTAATGCCCTATTTATAAATGATACAGTGGAGCTGATACAAGAGACCATCCTTGTTAGCCAGCATCTTGCCTTTCGAGTCTGGCCTAGAGTAGCCTTGGATACAGTGAGTGTAGTTCTGCTCTATCAAACTGATTTTTCTTGGTCCCCTGGATAGTTGCTTAAGAAAGGTACCAGACCCACCCAAAGCCCTGTGCCTGCTGCCCATGTAAGCTGAGAGCCCAATCAAGTATCCACTTCTGGCCTGGCCTCAGCTACAGGTCTCCCAGACACTCTTCTGTCTTCTCTCTGCCCTAAGAGGGGAGATGTCTTTTGCCTACTTCAGCACAAGTTCCTGAAGGAGTTCCCCCTCAGAGTCTGATCCCTTTGTCTTCAGCTTTGATCAGTTTCCATTCCATCTCAACCCATGCACTGCGATGCATCAGCAGCTTTCTGCAGTGTCACCCCCTCCTTAATGCCTGCTAAATTTCCTTGAGCCTAGGGTGACCAGACAGCAAATGTGAAAAATCAGGACAGGGGTGGGGGTGGGGGGTAATAGGAGCCTATATAAGAAAAAGACCCAAAAATCAGGACTGTCTCTATAAAATCGGGACATCTGGTCACCCTACTTGAGCCCTGGCTGCTAAAGTCTTAGAGTGGGGTTTCCAACAGCTCCCAAGTGACTTAGAAGCACAAGTCTCACTGTAAGGCAGTGGTACCTGCGTTCCTAAGCGGCTTTTGAAAATCCGACCTTCCACTAGCTTCCTTGCAAGGGAGACACCAGGCACTTTTTGACCAAAGATCAGATGTGGTATGTTGGACTCTTTAGATGCTGGGTAAGAAATGTACAAAATAAGAATTGCGCTCTAGCCAGAAGACACAGGGGTTCATTTCTTAAAGCTCACACTTGCTTTCTGTAATGGGAGTTTTTGGAATAGGGATGTCTGCTTTTGGGAATTCCTAGCCTTCCTACAAGAGTCACAAAAGCGGTGTGAATTCCCAAGAGTTCACACACTGTGCAGTACTAGCCTCTCTAAGGGAAGGCAGGTTCAAACTGTTTACCGGCTCCTATGGGA